ACCACTGGCCCACTGGGAATGGCGGGAAAAGCTTCTTTTAACAAAGGATTTATTTTGCATCTTTCTTATTCAATTAACTGGTAATTTTATGCCAATGTATTGTATTGTACTCAGTTTGTTTTTCAGTTGTAATTCGGAGTTTTAAACTGTAATTTTTGATTGTAAAGTTTTGTTCCCTGTTTTGCTTGTATCTCTTGTTGTGTGCTACACGTGGGCAACAGTAAATTAATCGGTTTCTCAACCAATGAACAAGTAATTTACACTGGATTTTATATTTGAAATTAAGGGTAACTGGAAATGACCTGAGGGCAAAGGGGAGAAGAAATATTTACTATGCACACACCAACAAGGTATTTTCAACTTCCTTTAGATAATAAATGAAATTCTTAAAGTTCAACAAAATAGTTTTTCAAAAATTTCATGCATACAAGTGTATGTATATTTAAAGTAAATGGCCAAGTTCCTATTGCCTCTATTCAATGGATTTCTTAAAGCTCCACTGTCCTCTATCCATGAATTTGCTAGTTTTTTTTATTGAACAAAGGTTGCTTTTACAGTGTTTTACATTTTATTAAGTATCTTTCTTATAGCTCAGTCAAAATCAAGAGAATTCATTTTAACTCTGCAATATATTTTCTGCCTGAATTTCACTATTTGTAGGTTCTACCAAATCTGTTGAGGAAATCAGTTAAATTTGTAACTTAACCCATAATTAGCCATATTAAAAGAACTGTTACAACCATGAGAAACTTTTGTGAATTTCTAGAAAATCATGGCAAGTTTGATAGCCTTGGGATGACAAGAACAGTAATAAAAGAGTACTGGTTTCTGAGAAAGGATGATTTTTAAGAGTACATCAGTTGTAGCGATGAGTGAATCTAAAAAGAATAGTGTAAGAATTCACCAGGAAAAGGATATTCAAAAGTGAAGACTCGGGTTTCTACAAACTTGTAATCGGAAGTCATAGAAGCTATTTAAAGATCATTTCAAACACCATATATGTATGTCATCAATACAATGTGACCAGAGAGTGGATCATTTGTCACCAGTGCATGGAAGTTTCCATGAAGGCTAAGCTAATCTATTACATAAAGTAAATCTGATCCTGTCATCTGAAAAATCATTATGTAAAAGCTCGCACACGTTGATTAGGGAAATTCCAAAGGTGTCGTCCTTAGTGACATCTGACTGTTAAAATCCTCTTGATAAATAAGGTATGGATTGATAAAGGGAAGTAAATTTAACCAAAAAAAATGGAACACTGCTCAAGAAGACTTTGTTTTAGGGAGAGTAAGTTTGCTAAAGGACTCACAAGTTCTAACTGGATGTGATGGAACCAGATGAAAAAAAAAAAGGTGGATGCAGAATTTTTCTAACAGCCATAACATGTTTTCTGTTATGAGGGATCCAAAAACAGGTACAGTGTATCTAAGGTGTTTTTCAGGCTACTGGTCATTAGGTAGACAATAAATTTCATGATTTGATTTTACATTTTTGATCAACATGGGTTCAATGGAGTTCTGACAATTAACAAGTTAACAGACCTTTCATCTGTGAGGTTTCTATCGATTAACAAGTTAACATAGCATTACCAGTCCCTTCCTTTACGGAGTTCTAAGACATACCAGCCAACAATGTATTAGCAGTTTTTTCATCTGTGGTAGGTCTGACATGCATAAGTTATCACAGTTTTATCAATATTCTAAGTTTCATGTGGTCAAAAACACATGCAATTTATATGTATTACTATCATTAAAATGTTCAAGAACTTTATTAGCATAAAACATCACAGTTCAGATTCATAGCATAAGCCATCACAGTTCAGATTCACAAATCCACTTCTTTTATCAGATACTTTAATTACAAATTCATTTCTCAGTTTCAGTTCCTCAAAAGCACTGGAAGTTAGGTTTAATACTATAACCTTAAAGCTTACTAATAATGTCCTTAACTATTTGACTTAAGTCATACAATGTCCAAGATTTTTGAAATTTTTTATAAGTGGACATGAATGGTCAAATGATTGTTTCAGTTGATTTTAAGATCTCACTTGGTGTTGTTCTGTTCAGACGGGTACATTGTCAAAGAGTTATATCTTGAATTGCAAATGGTTTGACTCAACATCAACCGATCAATAAAGCCAGGAAGGTTGTTGGATGGTTGTCATTTCAAACAATACTCACTCAATCTGTGACTATAAAAATATTACTTAAGTGACGACATTACATAAAGTTTAATTTGATATTAATTTCAAACTTGTAGTCTTTAGAAATAAATGTTTACCTGTCACGAAACTCACCTTTATTGATACCCTACCAATAACAAGCTAATCATTGTTGAGCAAGTGGTCAGATGTTTAGCTTGCCCATTTCTAGAGAATTATCATGTCATCCTCATCTTTCAAGAGCTGTTTCCTAGTGGAAATATTCCAATCTCACAGAGTGCTCTTTTGTTTGATTTTTTAGAACAAAGCCACACTGGACTATTTGCTGTATCCACTGAAGGTAATTGAACAATGAATTTTAGCAATGTATGTCTTTAAACTTACAGTTATCCTACAAGGGGATGGGCGTTCTTTCTGAATTAATAGTTAAGTTATTCACAAAGAATGAATTTCACAAAAAGCTCCTGAATTCAAAACTTATTACTATAATCATCAATAAAATAATTTTTACCATGTTATCCTAATGTCCTTTGTAACTGCACTGCTATCTATCTCTCCTAATCTAATGTCAGCAAAGCACTTTTTCATGCAAAGTTGTTCATTCACTTATGTATTTTTCTATATAGAACACAATACACAGGTCGTTTGACTCAAAACATTATTACTCTTACAACTGAAAGTTGATGTAACTTAAAATACATTACAGTTTTGTTTGATACGATAGCTTGGCTCAAAGGTAGATTTAACATCATGAATTTGAATAATTTTTCCAATTCATGGGCTTTTCAAATAGGTAGTATAAGGCAAAGTTAATGTAAATTTGATATTTTCAATGTAAATAGTACCTTAATCAACACATGAGCTAACAAAGAGATCCCAAGGTTAAAGCTCAGCCATCCCTAAGTTAAAGATGCTGCTGACTGGGAGATAAGCAACCAGTCAGTAGATCCTACTGGCTACATAGCTACACTGGGGTCAACTATCATGGTCAAAATGACCCCACATCTGAGAGTGTGGAGCGTGTTCAACAGCAAACCCACATTCCGGCATTCTAACCATTAAGCCATACCTGGCCCTTTTAATTTGGAAACAATAGTGTTGCTTATGCTTGAAGTCAGTTTATTTCTATGATCAGTGTGTTCCTATTTAGCTCCATAAGTAAACAAGGGAATCAAGGACATTAAGAAGTCACTCGCACACTATGTTTTAAACACTGTGGTTGCAATTTTTATATATATATATATATATATATATAGTATA